GCTTAATAGGGCCATCTTGGCGAAATTGCTTTTTACACTGTCGCAGCATTAGTAGCTGCTGAAGTGATATTACCGGCATGGCATGGAAGACGGTTATGCTTCACATGACAAGTTTGCTCGTTTACCACTTCGAAGAACTGGCTTTAAAAAATGGCTGGAGAAAACGAAAGGAGTGATTGGATAAGCAGTGCTTTTAGATAATTGCAAATCGCTGACTTTTTTTCCCCTTCATTTTCCGACATTTCTCATGCAGTCTTGCATCTGACTGCCCGCCTCGCGGACGTTCTCGTCCGAGTCGACCTTGTGGCCAGTGTCGGATGACAAGACTCGACTGACAGCAAGAAAGGTTCCGGTGCGTAAGAACTGTTGGGCAACGACTCGCGGATTTCCTGGCGACACGGTGCTGGCCGACGTTACCAAAATCACCGGCAGATTTGGTGAACGATGACATTCTGACGGCGGAAATACAACTCCATGCGAGCGTAGCAGAATATTATTTCACAAAACAAAACGGGCCAGGCATTTAGGCGCAGTTATGAGCGGTGGATGTTTTGTTCGAAAATGACTAAGTGAAGTACATTTAGGTATCTCTTTCAAAGACTGTGTGTTCAACAACATGAATCAAATCTCTTCACTGAGGCCGCAAAGGGATGAAATAACGAGCATGAGCTGGGCAAATGCGGACCAGGTGAGCATTCTCTGCATCTTACTAGCATAGCTAAAGTTGAACCGACCGGAGCTAGCTTGAGTTGCTCCCTGTTTTGCACTCGCAGGCCGCAGAGTCACTGTGAATTGATCTGACGGAGCGAAATGAAACGGAAAGAATTTGGAAAAAATTCTATGGGGATTTTGGTAGAGATGCTGAACTCTGTGAAAGTGCACCGGAATCCCGCCGAAATGAGGGAGTGCTGAGCGAATTCGAATGGAAATTCCTCAGACGGCTGATGGTAAAATAGGGCAAAAGCTTCTTTTGACCAAAGGATGACAAGCTGCAACTGCATCGGCAGTGTTGTACGTGGCGAATTGTCTTACTGTGCACAAGCCAGTTTCATCTGGTCAGAGGGACAAACTCTGGATGAGAAATTCGGATTTCTCACAAGCATTAAGCGTCGTTATATTTCGCTGGCGGACATCTGCCTTGGAAAACATGAGATGACAACACAAACTGTCTTTGCTCATTTCGGCAAGAGAGTAGCGGAGTTTTAAGTTAGCAGCAGCTGTTTTGAGAAAATCATTTGTTCTTGATACTTGGCATTTAGACAGAATTGCTCACAGCACAGTTGGACAAGCAGCTGAAGCTATTTGATACGGTCTCGAATACATATTCCACATTGTTCACGCTTCAAAAGGGAAGTGGCGCTGTTCGTGGGATCCAGAAAACAAACTCGTGCGTTTAGTGCCATTTCAACTCTTTCAAAATTTTATTCCCGTCTGAGTTATCGCATCTCTGTACGTCTTATCTCAGAGTAAGGAAGATCTTAAAAATTGCCGCTCGACCTGCTGCTTTATAATTGCAAACTGTTCACAAGGATATTTGCTAATGAAAAGGGCACCTTTTCCACCTTAAACTAGCTGTTGAAGCTCTTGAGGTCTCTCTCTCTGTGTATCTCTCCTTTTCGCCAATTATGAAAAATTGCTCGGTAGCACCATGCTAATTTCTATGCTGCAAATTCTTGTAGGTGAATGATTAATCGGAACCATATGAGAATTTTTAAGTGGCGGGTATAGGCTGTCCAACAGATATAACTTCCATTATTATTCTTATGCCAGTCGAGAGAGGCGTGAAGCAGAGGGATTCCGTATCATCCATGCTTCTGTAATTTCTCTTGAGAAAAAGTTTTATAAGCTAATTTGTAAAGATGGCCTGAACATCAGTGGGTAGTAGCTATTTCATTTATGCTTCGGGGATGACACAGTTCTCATTGCGAGCAGCAATTGCGAGGGAATAAGACGCTGCAAGAGTTTAATGCACGAAATAAATTGGTTTGGAAATCAATGTAACCAAAAAGAAGGCGAAGCAAAGTGTCGATTTGCAAGCAGCCCAAAAACGCGGATAGATGGTGTTGACATGGAAAAGCTTGGCAGCAACGTCTCCCTGTTTTGGCCTGAAATTAAATACGTGCAACATTTCTTAGCCGGGGATTGCACAGAGAATGATTGCTGGTCCGCGCTGTAAGTGTCTGGCCGGGAGGAGTGTGTGCGCTTTTCAGTACAGCTGTGCTAATACAAGTTCTGCATTTGGTTATCGGAGCTGTGACAGAGAGAGCGATGGGACTGAGGGTGCATCTTGTGTCTCTTCGTGCCTCTACAGGCAGTCAGGTAAGCGGAGTGTACGAAAGTGAAATTTGGTGGGCAGAGCACATTCGAATGATATAGCCCGAGATGAAATTGGCATGGGATGGTTGTTCGGCGCGAAAGAGAACTCCGGTAAATTTCTGGCATAGGTTTTCCACAGACACAGGTTCTGTTTTAGCGATCTTGATACGTTATATGTATTCACTTGTTTGCATTTATTTATGTTGGCCAGTTTATGTTGGAATGCCCACTGCAGCTGCGAACTTCTGTAGGTGCTGCTAACGTTAGCGCTTGATCTGTCATTATTATTCTTTTATTTACGCCGAACTGTAGTAAAACTGGCGCCAACTGATAAAGAAGGGCAGTTGTCTTTTCCTTATCTCTTTCTGCGTTTCCTCTTCTCGTTGCGCTTCTTGCTCCTTCTATTTTTGGGTGCTGCGTCCCCGTGCCCGCCCCTCTCTCGTCTCAGTGAAACCTTAGGAACACAAGTGGACATCGAATTTTTGCAGTGGCTCATTTTTATCAGCAGTGGAGTCCGGTGAATTGTCACTTTCTACATCATCCGGAAAAGTGGTCAAAGAACTGGATGCGGGATGTGATTTGCGTGTGATGATTCCGAAATGCGAGGAAGATGGAGTGTGCGCGACCGGTGGCAAAGAAAACCCGTTGAAAGTGTGGAACATGGAAAGAGGCGAAACAATTTTTATCGCAAAAAATGTGCGTCCGGATGAGCTGCAGCTGCGAGTTCCAGTATGGGTGAACGACATACGCTTCATCCCGAAATCACAAAACATCGTAACAATTACTGGCAAAAACCAG